ACCCGGGTGGCTCGGGTCGGTTAGGTGTCCGACTCTCGATTTCGGCTCAGGTCATCATCTCACGGCTCATGGGTTCGAGCCCCACGTGGGGTTCTGTGATGACAGTGTGGAGCCTGCTTGGGATTCTCTCTCTCCTTCTCTCCCTGCCCCTCCCCTGCCTGCTGTCTGTCTCTCTCTCTCGAAATAACCCGGGCAAAGCCAAGGTCGCTGGAAATGTATCAGCAGGTCTTTCTTGAGCATAACAGTACGTAGAGCTCAGTGCTTGGTGCGAGGCTGAAGGCAGGACGAGGAGGCACAAACACAGGGCCCTTCCCTCATGCGGGGAGAACATGGCACATCTCATAGGAGGCTGTGGGAACAAGTCAGCGGGATGCCTTCGCTGCTATATCCAGGAGGACAGGCAGGGCTGCCAAGGGATCCAGGGGAGGGTTACCAAGCTGGGGTGGGAAGGGCCTTTGCACATCTCCCTCATCCTCCAGGCAAGGCCACAGGCCCAGAGAGGGACAGGGAATCAGGCAGGTCACACAGTAAGTCAGCTGCAAAGCCAGGACCAGACCCCGGGCTCCTGACTGCCAGTCCAGGGCTCTCTACACAACCAGAGCTCAGGGCTCAGGCTCGCATCAGAGAAGCCTTCCAGAAGCAGGGATGCTAGGCACTCTGACCCCGGCCATCCCCTCTGGCAGGTGGTCCCAGGAAGGGACCTGCCTACTTTGTAAGGTGGGGCGACTCTGCCCGGTTGGGCTCAGCTCACAGCAACCTGCCAGAGCAATCTAGAGAGGAAAGGGCCACCTGCTCAAGGTTATCGCAGTGGAACCCTGTGCAGGCATCATCCCCGTTTCCAGGAAAGCAAATGATGGCTTAGGGAAATGAAATGATTTACCCAAGGTCGCTAGGCAGTGAGGATCATGACCTAGCCATAGCAGCGCCCCGTACTGTTTCCACAACCATTCTGCCTGCATCTGGGAAGTCCGTAGCCCTCCCACCCAAACACGCACATGACGCCTCCAGACATGCCTGACCAGGTGAAATCCCACCGTGAACTCGCTTCCTTCCTGTTTACCACAGGCACCCCCCGAAAAGGAGCACGTAACCCCCGACGGCGCTATCAGCCATGTCTGCTCGAGTATAAGTTGGTTATCAGAGCCTCAGACTGGGGCTGAACGCAGGGCCCTGCCCAGAATGACACACGACAGGTGAAGAGAGAGAGGTCCCTGGGCTTGGGCTGTGCCCTGGGAGTGGCTGGGTAGAGCTTCCCCTGGAGCGCTTGGGCGCCGGGCCCCGTGTCCAGGTGGCATTGTGGGGGCGGTGCCCAAGGGTGGAGGTGCACGGTGATGTAGAAAGAACACCGGCCCCGCTCAAGTTCCGACCTGCGCTCTACCTTCTCCTACCTGCACAGGCTGAGCCTCCCACTCACCTCCCTGAGCCTCACAACCACGCCCGTGCCTCAGGGCCACCTTGTGTCCACGGGGCAGGTGCGGGTGCTTGAGATGCTCCATCCCAGGGTTCTCATGCTTAAGGGGACATTGGCATCCTTTGCAGGGCCCCCGAAAACTCAGACTGCACGGCCCCACCCCAGACCTTCTGCTTTCGTTTGGGGGAACTACTAACTAACTACTAACTAACTACTAACTACTACCTACCACCTACTAACTAACTACTAACTACTAACCACTAACTAACTAACTACGAACTAACTACTAACTAACTACTAACTACCTACTAGCTACTAACTAACTACTAACTAACTACTAACTACTAACTAACTAACCAACCAACCACTAACTACTAACTAACAACTTACTAACTACTAACTAACGACTAACTAACGACTAACTACCCTGACAAGTTCCGTGGTTCTGCTGCTGCTTGTGCTGGTACCGCTTCTCTATAAAAAGCAGGTGATCGTGGGGCGCCTGGGGGGCTCAATCGGTTAAGCGGCCGACTTCAGCTCGGGTCACGATCTCGCGGTCCGTGAGTTCGAGCCCCGCGTCGGGCTCTGTGCTGACAGCTCGGAGCCTGGAGCCTGTTTCAGATTCTGTGTCTCTCTCTCTCTCTCTCTCTCTCTCTCTGACCCTCCCCCGTCCATGCTCTGTCTCTCTCTGCCTCAAAAATAAATAAAACATTTAAAAAAATTAAAAAAAAGAGCAGGTGATCGCTATGAAAGCCTAGAGATGGGGGCGGGGGGCGGTGATACAGAGCAGAGCCTTGGAAAGACAAGTACAAACTTGACATTTTGCAGGGATTTCACGCCCCGCCGCCAGGGTTGGACAGAGGGTGCCCGGAAGGATGAGAAGAGGGGGGATATAGGGCCAAGGTCAGGGAGCGGGATGCTGGGCTCTCTGCAACGACTGCTTCTGGGAATGTCAAAGTCTTCCTCTAAGCGCCCGAGGGCAACTGCTGGGCACTGTGCCCAGCGCCTCTCACGAATTGTCTCACATAATAGGTCTCCCCACAGGTCTCTGAGGTGGGTTATCGACACCCCATGTTACGGGTACAGGAACCTGTGGCAGACAGAATGACGGCCCCCAGGGGTGTCCACATTCCAAGCCCCAGAAGCTATGACCATTCCCTAACAGGGCAGGAGGGACTTTGTGGATGTGGTTTTGATATGGCTCTCCAGGTGGGGACACTATCCTGGATTATCCAAGTTAGCCCGGAGTAATCACAAAGGCCCCAATAACAGAGAAGTAGAAGGTCAAGGTCTCCATCTAGTCAGGCTGCTAAAACCAAACCCCACACACTGCATGGCTTGTAAACGACAGGAATTTTTTTTTTTTTTCCCCTCACAGTTCTGAAGGCAGGAAGTCTAAGATCAAGGTGCTGGCACTTTCACTTTCTGCTACGGTTCCTCTTCCGGATTCACAGCTGACACTTTCTCCAGGTGTCCTCACCTGGTGGGAGGGACGGAGCCAGGGAGCTCTCCGGAGCCTCTTTTATAAGGGCTCTGATCCGGTTAGTGAGGGCTCTGCCTTCCTGAGCTAAGCGCCTTGCAAAGGCCCCGCCTCCAGAAGCCGTCATCTTTGGGGGTTGGCATTGCAACGTATGATTTTGAGGGGGGCAGAAACTGCAGACCACAGCAGTCAGAGAGTCAGAAAGGAGGTGGGACAGAAGCAGAGATTGGGGTGATGAGGGTGGGACTGCCAGCCAGGTGTGGGGATGGCCTCCAGGAGCCTGAAAAGCACAAGGAAATTGATTCTCTCACTCGGAGCCTCCAGAGAGACTACAACTCCGCTGAAGCTTTGATTTTCGCTTTTTTTTTTTTTTCCTTTAATGTTTGTTTATTTCTGAGAGCCAGAGAGAGAGGGAATGAGCAGGGGAGGGGCCGAGAGACAGGGACAGAGGATCCGAAGCGGGCTCTAGCTAACAGCCCACTGTTTGATGCGGGACTCGAACTCACGCGCCATGAGATCATGACCTGAGCCGAAGTCAGACACAACGGGCCGAGCCACCCTGGCGCCCCCAACGCTTAGATGTTAGCTCCATCAGATTCATTGTGAATTTCTGACCTCCGTGAGTGCGAGATAACAAATTTGGCCTATTTTAGGCCACAAAATTTGTGGTCACTGGTTATGGGAGTCATAGAAAATTCATCCCGAACCAGAGGCTCAGAAGGGTACAGTGATAAGATCGAAACGTAGTCTTTCTGTCTACAGGAACTGTGCTCAGACTCCTAACCACAAAGTTGACTCAACAGCCAACTGGGGTCGGGAACTGAAGATACCAATACCATTCTCTCCTCCTCCCACCCCACCCCCACCATGGCGAAGAAATGACCCTGGGAGTGAGCAGAGGGGAATTCTGCTGGTTTTAAGTGTTGGAATTGTTATGGGAAAGGGGTGGGGTTGGGGCCAGGCACAGCAAAAGTTTTCCCTATCATGGGACTCCAGTTGATGAGAATTGGCTGCCCCGAGCTCTGTGCAGAGCATCCTGAGGCTGAGCCCAGGCTCCCGGGGAAAGTGTGCTGTGGTCGATTGGTAATGCCTGACGTGGCCTTGCAGTGGCTAATCAGCAGTGCATGCTGATCAGGATTAGATCGGTTCCCTAGGGCTGGCCCTGGGTCTGACTTATCTTTTTATTCCCAGGGCCTAGCAATGTGCCCGAAACAAAGCAAACACTCAATCAGTGTTTGAAGGAGGGAGGGAAAGCGGGAAGAAGCGGGGAGGGGAAGCAGGGGAAGAGGAATTTATTCTCAGGAGGCCAGGATGAGGGCCGGTGGGTAGAATCCAGGGTGGAGAGCTTCTGATTCCCCTCCTTGTTCTGTTCATAGCAATCCCTTCCTTTGGGGGGGATCCACCCCTGCCTCGTTCCACCTGGTGATGGCAGAACGGCCAGTCACAAGGTCCTGCCCCTCCTCTCCAGGGGCAGGTCTGTGACTCAAACCAGGCAAGACAATCTGAACCCCAATGAGAAACACGGGGGCAGGGGTGCGGGGGAGAGAGCGTCTGATGGCCACATCCTGGAAAGGTGGTCCACGAACTCAACCCGTGGAGAGGAAGTGGGCCAGAACTCTGGTCTGAGACTCCCGGGGCTGAGCTCAGACGCTCCTAACCTTAAAGTCATCTCTTTCAGGATGGCCAGCCAGAAGGCCCAGAAGCCACCGGGCAAGAAGCACTCCCAGGAGATGCGGGCACCCGGCCTTTCCGGCTTTGCAGAGGCGTGGCCAATGTGTCCCAATAACCATCTCCACCTCCATTTTTATTCTGCTGAGTTATGCAGAGTCAGTTTCTGTGGCTTGAAACTGAAGAATCCCAGCCTCGTACGGTCTTTCTAGAAGGAGGAGCCAGCCAAGAACCATTGCTGTCCCGCTAGGGAAAGTCTCTTTAGTTGGAGACTTGAGAAAAGAGAGGTTGGTGTTCCCCCAGATTCCTGTGTTGAAGCCCGCATGGGATGGGATGGGATGGGACGGGATGGGAGGTGGGGCCTTCGGGAGGCGAGCCCCCATGATGGGATTAGTGTCCCCTGAACAAGAGGGGGAACGCTAATGATGATACGAGAAGACAGCCATGTGTAAACCAGGAAGAGGGCCTCAGCAAGGCCCCAACATTGCTGGCACCTTGATCTTGGACTTCCAGCCCTCCAGTCTGTGGAATTCTGTACAGCAGCCTGCCCTAAGGCACAGGGGCTGGGAGGCTGTCCGGTGGGGATGTTGTGGAGGCAGTTGGGGAATGAATGGGAGGGAGGGTCCAGAGACCTGTCGCCTCAGTGAGCATGAGTTAGATTCCTTCCCTTCTGGCGTGGTGCCTGACTGAGTCCCTTTGCTCCCTGAGCCTCAGGGAGGCCATGAATATTATTTATCTGATAGGGTCCCCATGGGGCACATAGAGATAATGCAGATGAAGCCCAAGGTTACCCAAGCAGGCCAGCAGGGCACTGGGGCTTGAACCCAGGCACTTTCCTTTGAGAACCCCAGATCTTACCCAGCACTCATGCTGCGTCCCCTAGGGAGAGAAGTCTAAATCCCTCCCACTGTAAGCCCTCTTGATGGCAGATACAGGGTCTGAAATCCTGCCCTAGAAGCATGTGGGTCCAGTTAGGAGATGCCCACATGGAAAAGGAGAGTGAACTGAGAAGGCAAATCATGCGTATGCACGAGCCCAAGGAGCCAGCAAGCCCAGGGGGAGGAGGGCCCTGCTGCCTGGATTTCAGACCATATCCAATGTCTCCAGAAAGAAAGGACTAGAAGCCACTATCCTAATCCTGAGGCCCCCAGGGGGGAAACAGCAAGTTCCCGGAAGAAGACAGGTTCCCACAGGCTTTATCCTCCCCTGTCACTGCTCCAGGCAGCTCAGGCTTGGGGACAGGAGGGAGCGAGGGTGTTCTCTTATCTCATTCTGGGGGAGGGAGGGCCCTCCTCCAACACACGAGAGGAGAAGGCAGGCAGCTGAGGCTCAGAGCAGGAAGGGCTCTGAGACCGCCTGTGGTCCTGTCCCCTCCTTATAGGGCAGTGCCTCGGCCGGGGTCCACAGAAAGAGGGTGGCAGGATCACAGCAAGGACGCAGGTCCCCCAGGCGGGGGGCCTTGCAAGCACACAGCCCAGCTTCTCCCAGGCAGGACATTTCCCCCAAGCCCCTTCCCCAGCCCCCCT